CCCAACCACGGAGGTCAAGGATGGGGTGGGGCCGCCGGCGAGGGTCCGGGTAACGCAAAGACCGCTGTTTTTTGCTCTTTTGCTTTTGTTTTCTTCCCAGATTCTTTCACTACCTACCTTTCAGAAAGGACAGGCAGAGCTCAGTTGCCATACCCTGCTGCTTATGCTGTCAGGGTTTATACCTACCTTCCCCCCCCCCCCCCTTTTTTTCCTCCCATCTGTTGGGAGATGTAGAAAGAAAACAGACATTGACCAATACATACGCTACATTTGCATCATGCCGACTTTCTACTTCAGGTATTACTATTTCTTTCTTTTTTGGGGGGGGGGGAAGAGGAAGGGTGTGTGTGGGATCTGCATTTCCAACTTCGAAGATTTTTTTTTTTATTTTTTTTTTTGGGGGAGGAGAAAGGGGAAGGGGATGGATGGTAGTGGGGGGAAAAGAAAAAAACACTCAATGCACACAGAACGGCCGTTGCATTGAAACTACCATCTCTGGTTCCCCCCGGATAGGATAAGGACTTGCAAAATACAGACGTATCTGGTCGCAGCAAATGTGGGCATTGGCAACCCCCTGGGGAAGGGCCCTATGGCATACTACTCATGCTCGGAGCTCAGCAGATGTGTTTAGGAATGATAGTGGCCCCAAGGATCACGAAACAGTCCTAGTGTGAGGACACCCTCCTAAGGGGCCAGTCCTGTACCAGGGCCCTTTTCATGCTAAGCAAAAGTATGAACCTGGCAGTAATAAGCAGCCATGTTCCTGCTATCCCAGAATGACATATAGCACAAACGGGGCCCAGCTCTAGGATATTCATATAAAGTTATATACCGACACCAATTTCTCAAGCATGCCCTCACATTCGTCCGGACTTCGATGGTGTCCCAAAGGACATTGTGGATGGTTGTGACCGATACTGTAACCAGATTTTCGCCAAGACGTGCGAACAATGCGCCTGAATGTGGACGTGTTTGTAGAGAGGGAGCAGAACTTGCAGTTGATCTTTAGCTTTTCTGCATCTCTGAGTAAAACGCATCCAGACTCAGGCGCTTAATCCAATCCTCTTTGCCCATGGGGCCTAGCCCTTGGTCAACGTTCGGTTTTCTCCATAATAGATCATGTAAACACACTGCAGTTGTGAGAAAAGTTAGTCTACCAGCGTGGCCCGGGACCACTTGCCCGGCCGGGCCAAAAAACAATAGACATTAAAATTGACTAAATGCAATTAAAATTCATTAAATTTGATTAAAATAAAAAAACACATTTTTAAACTTTATTAATTTTTTATTTGGTAAAGAATTTCAATGTGCCCCTGATGCAAAAGTTGTTCACTTTACTTGTCTGCATAAAATTGTTTTTTTCTTTTCAGAGCTTGTGGATCTCTTTTTTTTTTTTTTTTTTTTTTTTTTGGATGTACTTCGGTTTGCTTTTCAGAGTTTTTCGTTTTTTTTTTTTTTTTTTTTTTTTTTTTTGCTGGGACCTACTTAGGCCCTTGCACGGCCGGGCCACCGGGGCAAACAAAGTCACCCGGGAGGCCCGGCTGGTAGCCTAGGAGAAAAGTAGAACGAATAGCAACAACTATACCAAATTTAATAGGAACAGGAACCTTCAAGGACTCACCTCATCGCTCACCGGATGTTCAAAATGCAAATGAATCTTCCACCAGAACATGGACTGATACACTGCCATACTTTTCATCCTTTTCACATTTGGTAGTCCGACGAGGCCCTTTACCATGACTAAGAAAATTAGTGGTGCATCAGCTGGACCAACGTTGACGGCACGAGGAGAGAGAAGTACTTAGGACGAGAGATGGGAGCGAGACATGAGAGGACAACGGAGCCAGGAAAGCAGGGGGAGCAGCTAGCCCATCATTTGCATACTGTTAGGGTGTACTCACACTAGCTCTATCTCAAATGTCTCTGATAACATTTACGGCCGGACCTGTATGCATCTGACCAAAATCACGTCCACATACAAGCAAAATTGTCCTATGCCGTTAGCTGATTATGTGGACTGATGCAGAGGCGGATGAGAGGCAGCCCACGTCTCGAAAAATGTAAAACAGCCATCTCTACTGAGTCTATGCCTGCCAATAGCCCGTTATAATGCATCTTCCCTCCGATCTTGTCCAGGTGCAGGGGTCCAAGTGACCCATCTTTCCACTGGCATTGTGAATCCCGTCTTCTACAGTTCGCATTCACACATGCCACTCACACTCATCATCGTGTGCTAAATGCATATTCCACATGCCGTTTCACATGCCAATCGCTTCTGCAGTGTGAGCTCGCACATGCCACTCGCACTCATCATCGTGTGCTAAATGCATATTCCACACGCCGTTTCACATGCCAATCGCTTCTGCAGTGTGAACACACGAGAGGGCTTTTGGCCTTTTGGCCTGCAGGAAATGCACTGAGGAACACATATTCAAGAATTTCAGAACAATGAGAGAGACATATTGCCTCCTCATGATCTAATGTCGACATATCTAAATCTAATGTGAAATCAGCGGCACAACTCCCGACCTCACAGTCATACAACCAGAATTTCCAGATGCAGGAGGCCCTCCCAGCTGGACATGCCAGGGAACCAGATACCAACAACGGAGGGAATACCTTGAGCCCGTATGGGACACGAACTCGGCAGAAAACTGGCGTAGCTCAATTGGTGAGGAGCGGCAAGAAACAAACATGATTTTTAAACATTTTTTACATTTTTTTTACGAAGTTGTAAAAACATAATTTTTATATTTCTTTAAACTACCACTACCTCCGACCCTATTTTCCACGAACCTGAATTTCACTGCGCACCGAGTTTTGCCGAGCCTGGATCGTTATTTCTTTACTGGTACTCACGGCAGTGACATCTGAAAAAGAACCAAGAAAATAAAATGATAAAATAAAGAAGAATAAAAAAAAAAGAAACTTCCCCAAGGCCGTGATAGCCATCAGATACATTCTCTGAGGTGCTGTTGGGAGTGTGTCCTCAGTGAGGACATGCATCCCATGGAAAACAAATGAAGAGCAAGAACAGGGCACAAACAGGACAATAAAAAAAAAAAAAAAGATGAAAAAAATAAGCATGCATGTTCCACACATACTGGCCAGATACATACCTCAAAGCACTGCTGTTACTCACGGACGAAATCAAACGAAGAGCAAGAAAATTAAAAAAAATCCCCTCATGCTGTGATCAGGATCCGATACAGGACAATACAGTGACAGTTTGAGTAAGACGAGAGCGAGGCAGTTGCCTGTCTCGCGTGGAATCCTCCCTGCCTCACTGGCAGGGCGTAAGAAGGAAAACCAGAACGACATACACACAAATGAACACGTTGCACATTCACGTTCCACACATGCCGGCCAGATACATTCCTCAAGGCACTGGCGTGACTTCCACGGTCGTGAGGGCCTTCCCCGACGTAGCGGGTCCCACGGGGTCCCAATCTTTTCTTTTTCTTTTGTTTCCTGCCGACCCTACACAGGACCCTCGGACTTTGCCGTTGAGGTCATTTTCCCAAATGGGGCTACAGCTTGGAAAGGTAGTGGTTAAAACCACCACTACCTCCGATCCTGTTTTTACCGACCCTTACTTTCACTGCGCACCGAGTTTTGCTGAGCCTGGGTCCCATTGTGCTTTCTTTCCCGGTACTCTTCGGGAATGAAAAAAAAAGAAAAAAGAGAAAAAAAGCAAACAACACTAGCGACGCGGAAGCAGCTACATAAAGAATCCGGGGTGCACGTTGCCCTAGCAACGGGCATTACAGCCCTCCCACAATAAGGGCAGCACATCCAGGATCAACGAAGAACCAAAAGAAAAGAAAAAAGCTTTTGGACGTGAAAGCAGCTGGATACTGAAATGGGGGATGCGGGCACATGTGAGAGTATGCCCTCCAATGGGCCGTTACAGGAGGATAGAAAAGAAGAAAAGAAAAGAAAAAAAAACAATCTCTGGTGACGTGAAAACAACTGGATACAGAATCTTGAGTACATGCGAGAGTGCCCCCTTCGTTGCAAAGTGTCAGCTGTCCGTGGATTCCCGCCCTGCCTGATTGGCAGGGCACTATAACGACATCAAAGGGGGGAAAAGAAAACAAAAAAAAAAGAAAACGGAACCCGCTGTTATTCTGGGTAGATGCATTCCTTCAAGCATTTATGTCAGCACACCACCTCCACGGCCTTCCCTGACGTCCGGCCTTTCCTTTCCCCTCTGGGCTTTTTTTTTTTCTCCTTTCCGCAGAACCTACACGACTTACAGACAATCCTTTTTTTTTTTTCTTTTTTTCTTTTCAACTTACAGACAATCCTAGATTAATAGCAGGTCGGATTCCACGATAAAACAGTTCTGTTTCCAAAAAGATTTGTCCGTCCGCAATGGAGATTACATTGGTAGGAATATAAGCAGATACATCTCCAGCTTGAGTTTCGATAGCGGCTTTTTTTTGTTCTTTTTTTTTCCCTGCTGTACAGGCCCACAAGGCCCAAACACTTTCTTTTGCCCGAGTCTCCTCAGGACCCCCGATAAATGCGGTGTTGACATATATTCCCTTTTTTCCCAACACTGAGAAAGATAGTGGTGGTTTAACAAACATTTTTTTTTTTTTTTCATTTATTGAGGTTGTACATTCTTGCAGTGGAGAACGATCGATCAACAAGGACAGAGCACTAGAAATGGTCTTCCAGGAGAAGAGCACTAGATAACGACTCTTGGATGCGGAGCTTTCCGATTACAGACATCACACAGGAAACTGAGAAAGGCCATTGGGAGTTAGGAAATTGGGCAATGAGAGAAGAATGGAGTGCACAGATAACCAACCAGCAACTGATGCAAGGGAGACAAGTGCCGATAATAATAGCTTCGTGAAAATAATCTTTCGCCTGTTCTTCTGGATCACATGCTTAGTCATCACCCTCTTCATCTGTCAATGGATCATCACAAACAAGGAGGGGTTTAAAGAGGGAATAAAAAAAAAAAAGGGAGGGGAATGCAAATCACTTGGTTGGTCAGCGCGGGATTCCAACCATGTCTTCTCAACCAAGAAACAAGCCGGCCGACAGCGAAAAAGAATTCACCGCAATCTTCCAATTAACCTCTTCGCAATATTAAAATCATTCTCCATATAGAGAACGCGTTCTCCACAGTTTAACTCTCTCAACTTCAGCAACTACTCTGAGCATAAGAATTCCAAAATTGAATATCGATGACGAAACACAGTCAATCCTCAATAAACTTCTAAGGAGATTCGCTAACGGTAAGACTACCAACACTGCCTATTCATTCCGCATTTCGTCGAAACACGCCGTATCTCCCAAACACGTCACACCCCGCGTGTGCTAGCTCCAAATCCACATGCTTCAAATTTCAAGTGCACTCAAAGCCGAGAATCGAATGACACAACCCTGACAAAAACAAAACAGTGAATGCAGTTGCATCCTAGCCGTGAATCTACAATCATTGTCCGTCAATTCGGTTTCCACTGAGGAAGACCTTGCCTCTCCGTGAGTCACACGCCATGCTGACAACCTTCCAATCCATGTATGAATCCAAGCTATATAATATATCTAATCCGTATATGTATTAAGAAGAACCTTTCAAGAACAAACCACGCTTCCCTTTCAAGAAAGCATCACAGCGATCCAATCAAGAAAACAGACATTTCCCAGCCCTAAAACCGAGAATTGCTCCTTGCCGCTTAGTAACAAAAGACAAACGAGAACAAGGCTCTGCAAACTGAAAGCCGATCCTCAACCAAGACTTGATTTTGGGCGAAAGACAATCTACGCAACGGACAGCGAAAAGGAATAGAAATGCCTCACCTTGACATGCGCAAAGAAGCCGATCATCCAGAGTACTTAACCATCTGAGACAGACTGTGAGCTCGATCGAAGCCCACCACCATCGGTCTTGGGCAAAAGACAATCTCCGCAACGGACAGCGAAAAGGAATAGAAATGCCTAACCTCGACATGCACAAAGAAGCCGATCATCCAGAGTACTTTACCATCGGAGACAGACTGTGAGCTCGCACCATCGATCTTGGGCGAGAGGCGATCTCCGCAACGGACAGCGAAAAGGAATAGAAATGCCTCACCTTGACATGCAATGCACAAAGCCGCCGATCGTCCGACTACTGTCAACCATCTGAGACAGACTCTGAGCTTGATCGAGCCCACTGGCATCCAAGCACAAGCATGAGTTTGCGCTGCCGCAGATGTGTCCGACGCATCTTGTGACACAGCACAACTGCAGACGCGTCAGACACGTCCGGTGACACAGTAGAACTTCTGACATGTAAGCCACAGGTTGCAACACAGCAGCACCTCTAACGAGTCAGAAAGTTCGCACTAGCATCTCTTTCGTGTCGGACATGCAAACGCCGGGAACCATGGACCCTGCTTGCTGTTACTCATGCATTTCTCAGCCTCGATATTCGGTCTCCAGGTCTACCCAATGGAATGGATAAACTTTAATCGACCTCATCTTTGACCACCACTCTATCCTCATTGAAGAGCCCCCTGCCTTTGCCTCTTCTTAGCCACAACAACCACAGCATGCAGCAGAATAACTCAAGATTTGCATTGAAGTAAACTGAGTTCAAACTCTTCCAGGCACATTTTGGATTTCACTGGTCAAGAATGAATGCAATGTGTGCTCCAATATGAAGAGAAACAGACTTCGTCGACTGGCTCATGCCTCAGCAGACAGAAATAAAAAAGCACACGACAAAGCATGCCTTCCCCCACATGCCCTTTCAAAGAAACAGTGGCAAGGCCTTTTCCATGATGATGGCCTCACCAAAGCCAATCGGAAACAGTATAAGCACCATAGACACAGCCATAAAATGAATCCAGTCAATAGAAAGAGACTTTTCCAATCCTCTTGAGCTGCCCGAGAACATGCAAGAGCGGTGCAAGTTCAAGATTCCAAAACCTCTTCCTGACCGACAGGGATGGCCACCCCTAAAGAACTCCACAAAAAAGCCGTTACCTAAACGCATCTCTTTATTGCTACTACCTCACCATAAGCCTCCACAAGCGCAACACCCCCCCCCCCCCCCCCCCCCCCCCCCCCCCCCCCCCCCCCCCCCCCCCCCCCCCCCCCCCCACCCACACCCCACCCCCCCCCCCCCCCCCCCCCCCCCCCCCCACACACACACCCGCCCGCCCACCCACCCACCCACACACAACAAATATCCCTCACCTTGCACTTACAATTCCCCCCACCCCCCCCACCCTCACCCATGCACACACACGGATCATCCCCTCCCTCCCCCCAAGCACAAGAGCTCACAAACCCAATCCCAGACACACCATCCTGCCGCCCCCACACACATACACAGCTACCCATCCGCACCCAGCCACCCACATACAGCCAACCGTATCCACCGAGCCACATACACACCCGCCTAGCCCCCCGCCCGCACCCACCCCACACATACACATCCACACCAGCACCCACACCCGGATTCAAATTCAAGCATCTCTTGAATCCCTTTTCACCCCACCGACCTTCTTCCCTTTCCTACTCTGCCACAACCTTTTTTATTGTGTTAGTCCATTGTCATCATTTACAATAATTGCTAGCAATTCTGCATGTCAAGATCTTGTACACACCAGGCTTGCAACCGCTTCTTTTCTATGCACATGCACATCCTTTCCGGGCATCTTTGTCAGCAATTCAGCCATACTTTGTGTTGCTTCCTATTTTTCAATCGGTTATTTCCTTTGTCCTTCGGCTTCTTAGACAGACTTCATCTATGGGCATCATTTAATTGGTATTTTTTGGCAGTCCAACTGTCACACCAGATGATGCTTTTATACCTTCTGTATTTTTTTTTTCACATTGCTCAAAACACTTCCGTATAAACTTCCGTATTCATAGACATTTCTAGCATATGTATCCAGTCAGGTGCGCTATGTTTTCTGGTCTTCTTTGCGGATACAGGTACCCTTTTTGTATGCAAAGGTGATGTGATTACTTGGTAAATTTCTCGACTACTATGCATCAACCTCTATGATGCAAACCAACATGTTCGCATGTTCCACCGCTTCTCTGTTTTTCTCAATAGGCTTGCGCAATCCTCCTCCTCCCTCTATGTGGCCTTCAGACATTTATTAATTTACATGTCATGCCATGGACTTGACATTGTTTACCAGTTCGAGTCCTTCCAAGATTAGATAGTTGTGCATCTTATGATTTTGTTCAGGTGACGAGAATCAGATCTGCATACCACTTGGATAAGAAGGTCCTTCATAAGTGGCTTTTCTGTTCTTCTGAGTCTTGTGACAGCAAGCTGTACATATGGTTCTACCCACTCATCTACTCTCCCCTTGCAGTTTTGAAGAACAGCTTCAAGAAGCTTTGGAGCTGGGATGCAATCATTGTCCCGAAGATTCTCGTTCTCCAAAACCTGGACACACGCACAGAGATTTCCGTCTGTTATATAGTTTCACTCGTGTTAGCTAACGGGTGCAAGAAACAAGGATCCGTATCCCATTAGATAGCCAGTCAGAAGGAAAAAAAAAAAAAAATTGTACATCCTGAAACCGACCTGCATCACAAACAGCACCAATGGCAAAGAAAGAATCACTTGTGAATCTAAAAGCAGAAAAATGATGATTCACTGGTACGCCCATCTTGCTCACAATCATGGCCATGATCCAGATGTCTGGGTCATCATCGACTGCTGCCAAAAAACACCCCGGACGTTCAGTGGGCTACTTGGATGGATGGAAAATGCAAAGTGCTTTGGAGTTCTCGCTTGTTCCCTGATAGAAATCAAGTGCAAGGATACCTCGACGAGGAAACACAAATCACAAGCATACTGTGCTCCCAGGGAACAGTTTTGGCTCAATGACATTGCTACGAGCAGAAACAACAGACAAACAACCACGTGTACAAAGTATTCACGATACCTGGTATTGTGAGGAAGAAACCTCCTCCGCTACCAATCAACAACAATAATACTGAAGCACACAACCAATGCCAGTCCCTTCCATCGGATGGCCACTGTGATCACCTCAGACTAGCACGAGCCTTTACCACTGTCTTCACCTGAATAGACTGCCAGTCATTATAGCCTTATTTGAGGCACCATTCAGTCTAGATACAGGCATAATGACCAGGAATTCTATTCTCGGTGAAGACGGTAGCCAACACCAATCTCCCTTTGTCATCAGCCCCACACGATCTGCTCCTTCCCATGTCCATCAAAGAACCTAAATCTCGGAAGCCCCCATCCAAAACCAACGAGGTAGGTCTTCTCGCCATCTCCAAACGGCTTTCCATCAACGTCACAGCCCTTGTCGCAACACATGACAAATTGGTAATTTCCAGAACATCATTTGGTCCCATTGTTTGGAACAAAGGCAACAAAGAATATTTTCAATCAAAGCAGCTCTAATGGACATTTTCCTCTGCCAACCTATGAAGTGTACATGCCGTCCACTCAATTTGCCTGGGTAACAGGGACATTCCCGTCGTCTGCCTTACCAACTATAGCCATCTGACGCAGCCATCATTGCAAGCCCATACGTTTGCACTTACAGAAGTTCACGAGGAATTCTGCACGAAGTTTCCATCCATTCGAGGGCTGATTTATACTGTCACATATCTGTAAACTAAAGGAGCGCAATTCCCGAAACAAAAGGTGAAAATAAAAATAAAAAACACCAACATGAGTGGCACACTGAAACCATTCATTTTTCTCATTCTTCTTTTAATTCCCCTTTCACCATCCCTTTCACGTACAAGGCTCGCCACGTTGATGAAGTTGAGAGCGAGCTGCCCCCATCCCCGTGTGCCTTAGTTCCAGTTGATCACATCGCAGAACAGTGCCTTCAAGGCAATTACCCGAATGTTTAGTGCCGAGCAGCACAGAGATCGTCGCCTTGTTGCAAACTCGTTACTGAATCAGGCCGCCCCATTGGTGCTAAATTGCCAAAATCCAGGCGAGCATTGATTCAGATGGGCAATGCCCACAATCAGGCGTCAAAGAATACCATCTGCAGATTCTGCAGTATATATAGATACATTTCAGGTCATATCTCAGATGCCACTCTGCTGATACAGCATGTAGTATCCTTCGCCCAGAGAGTAAATACCACCAGTGACAAAGTATCAGATCTGTTTAGAGTCGTACTTGCCAATGGCTTGAAGGCAGGCGACTCTTACCGACTGAGACGACAGCCAAGGAGATTCTGAAGTGTGGGTATAGGTTGGATTATCCAATCGTAGAGACAAATCAGTCAGGTACTAGTCCATCAAACGAAATGCTAGATTATGTGTTATCTTAAAATGTGTAAACTCTGTAGATGTGTACATCTGTCTGTGTGGAACTAAGAAATCATTGCCGGGGAAACAAGAGAAGAAAACAACGGCACAAGCTGGAGTTTCTAAGAAAGACCACAAAGCTTGAAGCCTCCAAGCTAGCTCACACGGCGAGCATTGGGCAGGCCTTGGCACGTCCATTTCTGGATCCCGACGTCTGGTGGGACAACCACCAGATGACCTCTCAGCCAGTGTGTCGCATGCCTACCGATAGGATCTGAGTCCTGGCATGTCGCAGGTCCTCAGAACCGACCCGAAGAGAAAGAGCAAACCATGCACAGTGGAAGACTGATATACCACGATCTGACTCATCAAGACTCAATGACGCGACTGTACACACAACGATCATCATACAACTGGGAAATGGTACAGCGCCGGGGTTGCATGTGCACTGACTTACCGGTTTCTGGCCTTTTCGAGGCCGTACCATCTGTAGTCTAGATTCGTAATTTTGTTTGGCTGAGGGCTAACCGAGAGACCTGCCTGTAAGGAAATTCGTTAGGGACACATCTGCAAATCTGGGAAAACATAGACCCCGACTAACTACAATTCCTACAGCTATCCTAATTGTGAATAGCAGGCCCGGGCTACCCCTAGGACAGACATGCCTTAAGGGCCTAAGCTGATAGACGGTCCTATAGCCTATAGCCAGGTTGGGAAAGAGGCCCTAGAGGTCGAAACAGAAACGGTACCAGTCGGTCAGTCAATCCGGTCTAGGTCGAGTCTAGGCAAGAGTAGAGGATAGATAGGATTGGCACATCGGTTCAGGGCTTTTGGTGGTTGGTACCGAGTACATCGCTGCTGTGCTACGCGTAAACCGGAAGTGGTGACGGCTCAGCGTCGAACGAGACAGACATAGCCAGACCTTCGGAGCGCCGGCCATAGCTGGGACCTGCGTTGTACTCTGTCAGCACGTGGGGCTGTACAGAGGTCTGGGCTATTCGAGGTCTGCTTGAGGCGAGAGAAGTTGGTGCCCTGCTTGACCCTCCTCCGGAGTAGGTTTACAGGGTTGCGGTGCTGCAGCCATAGCTGCAGCTTCTTCCTCAGAGGTCATCTTGTCAGGAGTGGTGGCGCTGCTGCAGACTTCCACCCGGGAAGTCTTCCGACACTTCGTCATCATCAGATACTGTGGCGCTGGTCTTCTTCTTCATCCTCTGAGTTGCGCTTGGCCTCAGAGGCCTTCCCTCTGGAGGCTGTATCTGGGTGGCGCTTGATGTTTCAGGTACTCAGGGGCGGTGATAGCGGTTCATCAGGGTTGGGGGGTGAAGCACTGCTCCTTTCTGAGCAGCGCATCATAGTCCTGAAGTTATTCTGACAATTGAAGACTCTGAGTTTCATAAACAGTGTTAATACTGTGGTCAGACTATCATCGTTTCATTGTTTCTTGGATGTGATCTACTCGGCTTTCCTTTATGACTGGTTGTGAGGATTGAGTGGGGTGAATTGCACTTTCAGTGTACCCTGTCATATCGCATGGTCAAGTCTTTCGCTGTGTTTATCTCTCCCTGTGCGGTGTGATACTCCTATCCTCTCCCCTTCCTTCTGTGTATGTATGGCCATTCCTGGGAGTCTATGTGAGTGAGTGTTGGTCTTCAGACAACAGACAACCAGAATCATAACAAATGCCTGATGACCACCAACCCTGACCGCCGACAGTATTGTAGCCGACCAGTAGGGCCGACCGGTCGGCGGTCTGCCGACCAGTCAGGAAACACCACATCCACATTTTTCAAATCTGAGTTGGGAGCTGTACTGCACTTGCTGAGTACAGCCCGAATCCGCTGATAAACTTTTGGGGATTTTTTTTTTTGGGGGGGGGGGGGGGGGGGGGGGTAGGGGTTGGAGTATAGAGGGGTATAAGGGTGGTATAAAGGGTATTCGGAGGGGTAATGAGGGTGTTGGGGGTCGTTTGGGGGTGTTGGGGGTGGTTTCTGGGTGTTGGGGGGTGTATGGGGGTATTGGGGGCCGCTATGGGGTGTTGGTGGTGCTACTAGGGGGGCACTATAGTGCGGACACCCCCCAACCGGTAGGTGCCGACCAGCCAACCGGTAGGCAGCCGACCAGTCAAGGACCGCCGACTGTTGGGGTGTGCAACCCTGTACAGCTCTGCATATAAAGAGGGGTTGTGGGGACTTGGCAACAGTCGCGGGCGAAGAGACCCCAACAATGACTCTAGCCTTTGTTGCCGGAGCGTCACCAGTTGTAGAGTGGCTCCTCTTCAGCATTCATCGCATCAGTATCCCGGCACTTCAACCAGCCACCTTTCTAGGAGCACTGAGGGACAGGTGGCTGTCAGGATGGGTGAAATGCGCAAAGTGAGAGTGGTGATGCACATGCAAGACATTATCTTCTGCGACACCATTCCCGTGCAGGAACTAGAATTAGACTCCGTGGAGTGGGCCTGGACGCTGCACAGACAAAGGGGCCCTGCACTTCACTTCAACCTCCTACAGTACACCACCAAACTTGGTTACAGAGCAAGGAGTCATGAACTGGCTCCGCCGGATATCATTGCATCGGGATGGGTGAGGCATCTGAATGTCGAGCTGGACGTGCAGCCATCAGCCTTGTGGGACTCAATCCTTGCCACTCGGAAAATGCGTGTCAGGAGCATGCAGTGGCTGATCGCGTACCTCGCCCTCCCGGTCAGCTAGACTGGAACACGGCAAAGCTGCAGTAGAGCCCCCCAAATCCGGCGAAACTTCCTGTCCAAGTGCCTGGGAGATGGGCGAGTACGTAGACTGCAGAATCTGCCTACCTTGATCGCCACGTCAGACAGAGAGGGAATCAGTAGACAGTGGTTAGTGTTGTGTAGACGAGTAGATACAACGAAGTGAGACTGGGAATGATGTTACTCGATAGCAGTAAACAATCATCAGCGTTGGATAGACGCGTAGATACGACGAAGTCCGACTGGGGATGATGTTACTCGAGGTTAAGACAGAGTCGATGGAGGCTGACACCGCCTAGCCATGCAACCAGAAAGGGCACCCTCTGATCCCACAATGCAGATCCCCAGGGAATAGTCCAGGGGCCGGTATAGTATTGCACTGGGACTGCGGGTTGTGGGTCGAGCCACTAGTATTGCACTGGGCCTTGGGTAGATCTTGGGGCAACAGACCTGCACTCTGTGCGAGTACACATCTAGATGTGTATAAGAGACAGTTCCTGAGAAGTGTGGAAGTGCTGCTGAAGCGCTTGTGCACTATCTGCGAGTAGCATGCACGAGCTGTCTCTTATCCCCCGCCACATTTCTCCTTCTGCCCTCTCATTCTCTGCTCTTCATCCCATTGCCCCACTCACTCCCAAACTTCCCCCACCCAGCAGCACAACGACCTCCTTTGTCCCCCATCATCGGGCCTCATGCCCTATTCTCCTCCCCCCACCTCTCCTTGGAATCTCAGTTGCCCTTACCCTTCACCGTTACAACCTCCTTCCTCCCCATATCCTACTCTTCTACCCCCGCACCTTTGACATTACAATCTTAACTCCTCGCCGTCCTACTCGTCTCCAGACTTCCATTCCTGTTAGAATCCAGTCTTCTGCAGCCCCACCCATTTCTCCTCAGCCCTGATGTCATGTTGCGCTCTCATCCTCTTCCTATCCTCATTCTCGCACCCTCGACATCGTGTGAAGCTCCTCCTCTCCCCTTCTCTGTCTACTCCCTGGTTTTAAACAATGCTCCCTCCACTCTCTGTTCCTCAACATTGTACCATGTTCCATCCCCACTCCCACCTTCTCATTGTGCCATGCTCCTCCATCCCCTCCTTGTTCCATGCATGACATGTACCCTTACTCCTCACCTTCTTCTCCTCCTCTGCCACTGTGCTGCTGCCCTTACCTTAAACCTCTCCTTCCCTCCCATGACGTTGTGCCATGCTCCCCAGTCTCCTCCACATTCACCCGTACTGTCCCACTTGCCCTCATTTTGCCCTCGTCAAATTGCTCATTTTCCCGTCTGTTCCACTGTAACTTCTGCTCCCTTTCTCTTCCCTCCTTTCCTAAATTCTCGCACGCCCCTCTTCATTCCCCTTCTCTCCCCAATCTATTTGTGCGTGCCTCCTCCCACACTTCTTGACCCACTCCCGTTGCTCAATCGATGCACGCATCCTCCTTTCCCCTAGTCCCAACTCCCCCACAATGGCTGTACTTGTCCTCCTACCCGATCTCAAATCCCACTGCCACACCCATCTTCCTTTCACCTTATCCAGACTCCACCTCATCCTCGTCTCCCTCCCCATTGGATTCCAATCCAGGTTCCTTCACTTCCTCCTCCCCCTCCCCATAACCTTTTCCTCCTCTTTCACCGTAGTCATCCACAACCCAATCCCATCAACATGTCCCATCATTATGTCCCCTATTCTCCTTTCCCAGATCAGAGATCAATAAGGAGAGAGAAAGGAAACCAGCAGAAACGCCAGTCAAACTCCGACACGGCTGGTTTTCTGCAAAATCTATTGATGTAGAAGATGTGATCTTTATTGCAAGAAGACTACGAGCTTTCCATGGGCTAAGGTGGCTCAAAGCAAGCCTGGCACCACCCCTTCCCCAGTCGACTTCTTACTCATGTCATAAACATCATATTCCTAGTAATCATCTACCTTGTCCTTTATTGCGTTGTCATGGTGGTCTCTCTCTCTCTCTCTCTCTCTCTCTCTCACACACACACACACACACAACCACTGCGTTTGTGTGCGTGTCTGTATGTGTGCGAGCATGTGTGGGCACGCGTGTGTGTGCCTGTGTTCATGTTCGCTTTACACAGCTTCACAGAAGAAAGCACGGCTGTGCCGGACTGTTTTGTCGGATTTCACCCACTCAACAGGAGACTGAAACCCGACAGTCTGCCGTGTGTGCATGCGAGTGTGCATAAGCGTACGTGTCCCCTTGCATGTGCCTGCGTACGTCTGTGTTGTCTTGTTCGGTATACCACAAAAGAAGAATGACCATGCCATGCTGTATCACCAGATTCTTTTCCTGCTGCGCCACTAAGGGTCTGATCAGGAAAAGGGTCGAACAGCTGCGCTGTGACTGCGCCGGTTTTTCCTCAGGCTTTGCCAACCCTGTCAACAGTGGACCACTCCCAAAATTCCTTTAGTTCCGAATTCCTAATCCAGCCCGTTGACCCCACAGTACCAGAGCGATGGGCACGTCTGTCGTGCAATGGTACATCTTACGATCGAGTGACGATCCCGGCTGTGGCTCGGTAGGACCACAGACTGCCCGGATTGTCGCACAATCTTAAAATCTCAAGTCCACAACACAATCCAGCCTGTGGCCCACCCGGATGTTCAGATTTCTCTTATTAGCGATTTCTGTAGTGAAGAGACTCAGTACAAACAGGAGACCAGGAACATGCAAGTTGTGGAACATGTGCAATGCCATAAATATATCCACTTAAAAATGTGCTTCTGTCTTAATGGGACCACTTGATCCCTCGGAATAAATACAATAGAGGAAGTATCAAAGAGACCTGGTTTACCTCTGTCAGCTTTTCTAGCATTTCTCCATCCTCCTCCGTTGTGTCATCTTCATCATCTCCGAGCTCCTCGTCATAGTCGGAGTCATCCTTATCATCTTCATCTTCTTCTTCCTCTTCATTATCCCTCTCTGCATTCACACAACAACCAATTAGTTCCTAAACAACGCAAAGCCTCCTGAAAGTTGGCTACATTCCTGGTTGTCTGATGAGATATATACTGAAATTTAGGATGAGATGCAGCAAAACCGCTCATGGAGACAGACAGTGCATCCATGGCAGTCTCATCATTCTCCGCACTCCCTCTTTCCCCCCCCCCCAAAAAAAAACAGCAGTACTATGCAGCCACATGAACGTGCAGGCACTCACGTGGACACAGACATTCCTGAACACATCATAGAATGCATGCACGCATGACACAGACAAAAGTGCGGCAACAGATCTATACCTGCTTGCTGATCCTTCAAAGCCAGCAGCAATTTCAGGAGACCTTTCATTACTTGTTCCATGCCGCGTTGAACCTCTGGAGGAAGCATCTCCGCAGGTAGCGTCAGCATGGATGCTAAGCCCAGGATGCACACCTTCTTACCGTGTTCGCTGCACCCGCAGAATCAAAATACACAACATTGTACACCGGCTTACGCAGTTTAGCATCCATTCACCAGGGATAGACAGCCACAGAGTGTGTGTGTGTGTGTGTGTGTGTGTGTGTGTGTGTGTGTGTGAGAGAGAGAGAGAGAGAGAGAGAGAGAGAGAGAGAGAGAGAGAGAGAGCAAACTATGTTGCCTTCTGTTTGCCGTTTTGATCATATCAACCTGAACACGTTTATGTGGCGCTTTTTCATCTCAAAGATTTAAACACAAAAGTCTCACAACCTGCACACCCTCTGTCTAGACAGCTCTGCATTACTCAGGATTGTGTTCCTTGGTGCTCTTTGTGCTAGGAAAAATGCCCAATTTAACATATGTGGGAGCAACCAAACTTCAGATGAGAGGATATAAAATGTGTCTACACGAAAGGACTACTCCACAAAGAAATACAGTGCTTGAGATGTGGGGGTTTGTTGTTTCTGAAACGTAGCCATTACTAAATTCACAGGCAGTGCCACCATTTGCATCCAAAGAATAACGTCACTCACCAAATGGGATTGAAAGGCATTCCACGATCCAGACCCCAAGTTCGAATCTCAGGATCAAAGTCTCAGGCCGAGAGGGGCCAAGTCGGGCCAGTTTCAGAAAAGCAAAGTCACATCCAATAGTTAAAAGTCACGTCTTACGGTGAAAGGTCATATCCCACAGGCAAAAGGCACTTCCCCAGGCCAAAGTCACGTCTCGAAGTCAAGGACATTGTACTGGCAAAGGACATTGTACAGGCGAAGGTCATGTCCCATAGGCAAAGAGGCATATCCCACAGATGAAAAGTCGTAACTGACAGGCCCAAGCAGCAGCGCACCAAGGGAAAATTGAGTGAGGGACCAGGCCACGACATTCTGAAGCAAATAGGGCTTGGGCATGTGGTACCAGTACCAAGTCAAGTCGAAGGAAGCAGAGGCTGGACCGAGTTCATGCTCAATCCAAGTCAATATAAGGACTGACCAGCCACATTTCAGGGAGATTGCTCATTCCTGAGAAGTGTGGAAGTGCTGCTGAAGCGCTTGTGCACTATCTGCGAGTAGCATGCACGAGAGCCCTGCTGGGCAGTGCTGTGCTGAGGAGGGAAGGCGGCCTTAGCCGCTCAGCTAGTAGTAGGAGGTAGACCTGAGTAGTGGCGGATGTATTCATAGTCAAGACCCTCAAGTAGAGAGAGGGAGAGAGCGAGCGCATGCATGAAAAAGTCAGAGAAGAGAGGGCGAGACAGAGAAGAGGATGCTGGAATTGGGTTGCTCAACTCTGCCCTGATGAAGTGTGGAAGTGCTGCTGAAGCGCTTGTGCACTGTCTGCGAGTAGCATGCGCGAGAGCCCTGCTGGGCAGTGCTGTGCTGAGGAGGGAAGGCGGCCACAGCCGCTCGGCTAGTAGGAGGAGGTAGACCTGAGTAGTGGCGGATGTATTCAGAGCCGAGACCCTCAAGTAGAGAGAGGGAGAGAGTGAGCGCATGCATGAAAAAGACAGAGAAGAGAGAGGGTGGGACAGAGAAGAGGATGCTGGAATTGGGTTGCTCAACTCTGCCCTGATGAAGTGTGGAAGTGCTGCTGAAGCGCTTGTGCACTATCTCCAAGTAGCATGCGCGAGAGCCCTGCTGGGCAGTGCTGTGCTGAGGAGGGAAGGCGGCCACAGCCGCTCGGCCAGTAGTAGGAGGTAGACCTGAGTAGTGGCGGATGTATTCAGAGTCAAGACCCTCAAGTAAAGAGAGGGAGAGAGCGAGCGCATGCATGAAAAAGACAGAGAAGAGAGAGGGTGGGACAGAGAAGAGGATGCTGGAATTGGGTGCTGAACTCTGCCCTGATGAGTGCTGGTGACTGGAACTCTGAAACTGATTAATATGACAATTTGTTGTAATTTCTAAGCTGCGCTTATCTGGACTTGCATCTCTGGTCTCCAATGTCGACTTCGTATGATCTCTCATTGTGTGTGTGCTCAAGGTCACGAGAAGCGAGGCTCAATGCAGGATCCGTTCCTGACCAGGAAGTTTTTTGAACTTATTTCTACAATGTACATAAACGACTGTAAGATTGTAAACATAAACATAGTAACATACACATTTCCTTGTGAATTAACTGACCTTCTGAAATGTGGACACTTTCCAGTCTTTTCAGTGGCGTAAATCATTTCAAACCACTTTTCAAACACCTCCCCGACGTATTGATTCTTCTGGAGAACATTCATGCAAAGCGCAGGATTATAGTAGAGGGCATTCGCAACCTACAATCACAAGCCAACAAGATCCGCCTTTGTCAGTCGAGCAAAAAGGCAGGCTTTTCTGAAAATCAGAGACTCCCTCCCAAGATGAGATATTATAAGCTCAGTTCCACCTCTCTAGGTTCACTGAACACAACATCGTGCAGCAGCGAAATCCCCCCACACAGTATGCTTGGTTAAGTGCGCAAGCGGTCCATTGCACTTGGCTAAGTGCTCTTTCACAACCACTGGTAGCTCTACATTTTTTTTTCCACTGATTTTGTTTTGCACTCGTCCTTGGGAAACATTCACTGATTATCAGATAATAACCGCTGCAGTTGCAGCAGATAGAGGACAGGTTTATTCACAATGCAGTCCAACGTCCTGCACAGGAATCAGCTAGCAAGTACCATGCTAACTCACCTGTCAAATGTCTGAGAGACTTTGAGAGCAGAAACTAATCGGGAAAAAAGTCAAAGTTTGCTCAGTTTAGTCTTCGCTCGCATCACCAAAATCGTTAACCTTTTCGAGGACGTATTGGAAGAAATAGATTGGTCAGAAGCCACATAAATCATCAATGGCTTGAGATCAGAAATTCATTACAAGGAAACAAAATTTGCTAATCTAAGTCTCAGTCACATGACCGAAATCATTAACCTTTTAGAAAATGCCTGAACGGAGGTAGAGTGGTCTGCCATATGAAACGACAGAATCCTTGCTCCGAGTCACGGCCATGCTAATCTTCTCTGAATCTGGCCATCTTCCAGCGGAATGTTCCTACCGTTTTCTTGGGAATAGTAAAGCAGCAAGGCCCGTTTGACAAGCGGCCTCGCTGCTGTGAGCATCACATGCACAAACGACAGTGTATCAAGGTCTATCTTTCTTTCTTTCTTTCTCTAATTAGTGATTTGGACAATTCTCGATTTTTGCCTCTCATCCTCGCTCACGGCCAATCTTCAATGTATCCGCCCACTTTCCAACGGCATATTCACTGGACGTAGGCACATGGGGATAGTAAGGCAATTAAGTCCGATCAACGAGCTGCCTCTTTTCTGAAACTGCTGCCCTCTTCCCATGCCATTCGGGGAGGGAATTGGTTATTCATCCCCTCAAGCACAAGAGCTCACAAACCCAAACCTAGAGCTCACAAACCCAAACCCAGACACACCATCCTGCTCCCTCCCCCACACACAAACCATCCCCTACCTCCCCTCAAGCACAAGAGCTCACAAACCAAAACCCAGACACACCACCCTGCTCCCTCCCCCACACATACACAGCTACCAATCCACACCCAACCACCCACACACAACC